GGACATGTGTGAATTAACTGAGATAAACGGTTGTGATTTATACAAAGTAAATATATAGTGCAGGAGAACTTGTGATAAGTAATGGATAAATGTCTTGTGAATCAAGAAAAAGTGTGAGGTGATCATGCTTATGTATTCCATTCGGTATTCCTAACAACCTTTAAATTTATCAGTTTTACTAGCTTAAAAGCCACTCCAATCAAATGTTACTGAAGGATCAAACCGAATATGCTCTTATATAAAAGAATTGTGCAATCAAATAATCGACAAATTAGACGTTCACGAGATTCGCCTAAATGTGTTGGCTCATTGTATGGAACCAAAAATAAATGGGAACTTATCAACCATCAATAAAGACAGATTGAAAAATGGATTTGTAGGTCTTTGAGTAAAAGTGAAAATAACGAATATCATAGGTCATACGTGATAAATAATTGTGACTATAGGGTGTAAAAATGTAACTTATTGAATACTAGGTCGATCGATCGTTTGTTTAAAATTTGGTACGGTTAGGAAGAACACACTCCTATTGCAAAAAATTATGATTCGAAAATTGATCATATCTAGTTTTAAAAGCAAAAGAACACATATTAAGGTAAAAGCGAAAATGTAATCTAGAATGACAACCGTACAATCCGATAGACCTAAACGTACTTTATGGAACTATACCAAATATCTGAAGCGACCATTACTAAGGATTCGGGGAACTAAAGGAAATATAGCTATTCCGAAATGTTTCCTATATAATAAGCAAAATTACAAAGGTATAAAAGTATATAAGGTTTCAACCGGGCCAGCAAATAATGACTTAGAAAATAAAAAAAATATGAAAATAAATTATCAGAAAATGAAAAAACAGAGGAAACCTACCCAGTTGATTGAGGCTTCCTGGAAGGTTTCTACGAGAATCAGCGCAAGACTTTGGCCCCCGGCGAGAGAACCAGCGTCGAAAGCGATGAGTGGGCGTTTGCTCAAGTGTAGTAACACTAGTATCGGCATTAACAGAGTTAGAATGAGGCTTGTTTGCGGAATTGTTTGTCTTTGAGGTTGAAATACGACGCATAAAACCGGAAAATAGGCTAGTTTTTCTGGGCTTA